GGGGGAGTGCACACCTCTGCAAGGTAGGGGACTGTAGCAAATGCATTGGTGGGGAAGGCAGTGTGGCAGGGTACTCACCTGTTAAGTTGTTATCCCTTGTTATCTGATGCAGACACAGAAACACTGCACAGCCAGCAAAACAGAACACTGCAAATGGGCAAATGACAGAAAACCACACACGCACACTGCAACACGGGAAGAATGGACAAAATGCTAACTTAAAGACTTACTTAAGTTACTTAACTGATATTGAGAAGATGAACTACAACTTCTAGAAGTTGTAGTTCACAGTTCTTACTTCGTTCCAAGTGCAACCAAACAGCGAAAGATAAACCGCGAAACCGCAAACTTTGCAGTCAGCGGCATCAACTCCGCCTAAATTTCCTAATCCTCTGTACCTCCCCGTGCAGAAGTCTCACCCTCTTCCTCTTCCTCTTCCTCCTCGCCTTCCTCTTCCTCCTCGCCTTCCTCTTCCTCCTCACCTTTCTCTTCCTCCTGGCCTTCCTCTTCCTCCTCCTCGTGCTCAGTTCCCTCCTCTACACTCTGCAGTTCTCCGTCGTTGGCATCATGAGCTTCATCATCCCCTTCCTCTGAAGAAGCTGAAGACGATGAACATGCTTCTGTGCCGTCATCGTCGATGATGTCGTCCCTTTTTCTTGCTTTTGCTGCTGCTTTTTTCTTTCCCTTGGATTTTTTTTTTCTCGATGCTTCCAACGCTGCATTTTTCTTCTCGGCTCGCATTGCTGCTTTTCTTGTTGCGGCCTCTTTGTTGGTCAGCCGTCCTCTCTTCCGTTTCTCCAGAGGTTCAATGACCTCCTCCGCAGCACGTTTACCGTGACGACAACCCTCATCACCGCGCCGCACTTTACGTTGCCTGCTGCTTCCGCCTTCCTTTCGACCCTCCACCCAATCACCCGTCTCTCGAGCCCGCAGTGCAAGCTCCCGGTCCTCCTTGTTATACTGCACTTCAGGTGCTGGGCGCTCATGGCCCGACAACCTCCGCAAGGCACGCTCCAGCTGCCTCCCCGGTCGAGTGTTGAAGTGCCAGTCGTCCGTGTCCTTATCTATGTGCGCAAGGCCCTCCTCTTGGTCCATTGCATTGTCCACCTCGTCATTGCGCAACCACCTCCTTGCCATAGGCACTTCCTCGCCATCGTCGTCGTCCTCCAACTCGCCTTCCTCGTCCGACGTGTCATTCTCGCCACTCGGCATGCTGTTCTTCACCCGTTTCACCCAATCATTCTAGAACTGCTCTGCCTCCTCCTTCAACTCGGCGTCCGGCATTTCCTCCACCCACGGAATGTGGACATCATCCACACCACGACCGCGCTCTTGCCTCCACTGCAGGTGGAGGTTCCAATTGTTGTAGACGAGCTTTGATAGGCGGGTGGGCAGAATCCTCGTCCTCCTCCTGCCAAAAATGAGCTCATGCAGACTCCAGTTGCGTTCGCATGCCGCGAATGAGCTTGCCTGGCCCAATAGTCTGATCGCTTGGGGCTGCAAAAGATGCAGCCGCGATACAAACGCATCCCACCACATCGCCGGGGTCTTGGTGCGTGCTGCGCGCAAAGCTTCCTCTGATTGCAAGGCCCCCTTCAAGTGCACCCACTCGTCAACCTGCCAGCTCACATCATCGAACATCTCGTCTATGCACCAGGTATACAACCATATGTTGAACCCGGCTCGGATCTCAGTGTCTTTGAACTCCGGGTCCAAGAAGGCTGCTGCACAATGCAGCTCTGAAGTCATGAACGCCCATCGATCCATGAGGATCGACTCGACCTCTGCCTTCTCGAAGTCTCCCAAGATGTCCAACTTGCGAATCGACTCCACCACACCATCCATTCGATGATAAACCTTGGCGATTATTGCGCCCGGACCATCGACGAGCTTCAGTAGCTTGACAATGGGCTCCGTGGTTCTCAAGGCCTTGTCCACCCGCTCCCAAAAGCTGCCATCCAAGATAGTCATTATCACCTCCTCAAATTGAGAACGCAGGTGGGGCGGCACCAGGGAGGAGACCCACCCGCTGGCAGCCACAGTCAATTTCAGGGCATTTGCCCTGTCCCACAGCGACTGCAACATGATGATGTTGGTCGCGAATTGAGTGACGCCTGGCCTCTTAATCTCGGCACCACCCGATTTGGTGAGGAAGAGTGCTTGAACCTTGTCGTGGTTCATCACGAACTTCCGCAACATATTTCCCCTCTTCACAGTCTCCGCAAACTACGGAATGTGCTTGTCCATGTCCTCCAACGCGAGGTCAAGGGCATGCGCCGTGCAACCCACCCGGAATATCCACGGGTATTTCTTCTCCAAACCCGGGCATTATCCATGATCACCCCGACCACGCTTCTTGGTTCAATCTCCTCAATCGCAGTGGAGAGTATTCTGTAGTATGTACAGGCGTCTTTGTCCTTTCCCGCTACTCACACCGACTTCCAAAAGACGGTGTTGATGGGAGAGGACACCATGACGTTTACGTGTGGTCTTCCCCGCCGGTCAGACCACTTATCTACTTGCACCATACAGCCGGTGCAATCCCACTTCTTCGTCAATCTCCCAACGTCCTCGATCACGCTCTGGTGCTGTCCGTTTAATCGGCCATTGCGCGCCGCCTCTCTGGAGTGCAGTCTCCATGACGGGTGGGCCTCTCGTATGACATCCACCATGTCGTTGAAGAACTCGTTCTCAACCATGTTGAATGGTTGGTTCGTGCACGTCATCCAGCGGTCTACCCTTCTTGACGTCCGCTCATTCTTTGTGACGACGCTGACGGTCTCCTCCAACAACATCTGTCGCATCCGTGCAGCAGGTGCAACAGATGCACCTGTGTGCTGCACCGTGATACCTGGCCCGTTGCAACCCACCTCTTCGCCACAAGTGACGCTCGCTGCTTCGCCACAAGCGTCACCCACCCCTTCGACCAAACCCCCGCCCGTAGAAGCAACCACCAAATTGGTGACAGCAGGTAGGGCATTGGCACCGTCCCTCGCCATGCCCGAGTCTGTCCTTGCCTGCCGCAATCCTTCCTTCCTTCTCAAGATTTCCTCTGCGGTCAATGTTTTCGTTGATTTCTCAACTGCACAAATCCCCTTTGTGAAATGTTCCTTCAGGTGATTGAGATTACCCGAAAATTTTGGATCGCAGTAATGGCAGACCCACCACTTTCCCCCCTTCGAAGGATCCTTGCCCGTGGGGCCAAGGACATCAAAATGGCGCTTGACAAGGCTGGCTTCATACTTGCGGCTCGACATGATGACCTGCACGCAGCAATAACAAACAAAATTAATACGAAGAAAGATAGACAAAAAAAGGGGGCCTGCACGAAGCAATAACATCAAAATGGCGATCGACATGTTGACCTGCACATGATGACCTGTACATCAAGCCCTAACGGCCCCTGCGCATCAAGCCCTAAAGGCCCCTCTAGATCAACATGACCCCTGCGCAAGGATGACAAACACAAATCGAGAAAAGGTCGAACAAAAAAAACAGGAAGAGGAGGAGGAGGAGGAGAAAGGAGGAGGAGGAGGAGGAGGAGAGAACAAGACGAAGGGAGGGGGGGGAGGAGGAGGAGGAGAAAGGAGGAGGAGGAGGAGGAGGAGAAAGGAGGAGGAGGAGGAGGAGAGAAGAAGAAGGGAGGGGGAGGAGGAG